CTGCTACAAAAAAAGAGATGGGGAGCTGAGTTTTGTTGCAGACTTTGTTACCAATCAGTTATAAATGCTGTAGTTTGAAGCTTGATCCATTTCTTGCAATTAGATCAGGAGATTCTTTTGCAACAATGGGAGAAGTAAATTGTAACAGGCGTTGGCGTAACTTTCTGAAAGACTGGTGTGGACATGTCCCCACTAGTAATTTGCTCTCTTGTTGCCTTTTCTGCTCATTTAATTTATCCAACAGAAACTTGGGACAGACTCAGCTGCCCTGTAGATCAGACTCCTAACTCTAACGGCTCTGGATCTGTCGCTTTGAGAAATTAGCCGAGATGATTGGCGGTCGCTATTCACTGCATATGTTGTATTGATCGGAGCAGAGACAACACACTGTAGTAAATCTAAACTAGCAGCTACTTCACCTTTTATTTTGAACTAAGAGTTATGAGACAGGTAGCTTTAAAAACAAACCAAAAAAAACAAATGCCACCGAAACAGCCTTCAGACAAGCGCAGCTTTAAAAAAATTAACAGCAAAAGAGTGTTTAAACTGCGCACGTTAGTATTATATGGCATAAAGTTTGACAAAACATTGTGTTTAAATGTTATTTTGCTCTTTACTGGTTAAAAACTATAGACTAATAATACCTCGATTAACAGTTTAGGTTAAAGAGTCAAAGGCAGCTATAAACAAATGGGTTTTTAACTTTGACTTAAAAGAGATCTGGCTTTCAGCACTTTTTTTTTTTTTTATATTTGCACTTTTTATTGAAAATATTTTTTCCCATACAAGTATACATACCGATTTTACCATTTTTTTTTTTCCAAAACACAACATCCAACGGAATCTGTGCATATATTCTATACATGTATTGAACTGTAAGTTAACTATTTAAAGTCTGTAACTCTATAAGGGTACCCAAACCCACACTATTATTAAACAAAGTCTGATCTCCATGGTGAAATAAAACCTCGCCAATTTTCCCAATAATTTAAAAATTTTCCAGATTCAATTCTGATGGAAAAAGTCAGCCTTTCCATAATATAAATATTATGTATTATTTGAACCCAATCTTCCCTTTTAGGAGCTTCTGCCTTCAGCCATTTCCTAGTAATGGCTTTTTTGCTTGCTACCAACATAATCCTATAAATATATTTATCAGCTGCTCTTGTTAATCTTTCCATCCCTCTCCCCATGTACAGATCCTCAAATGTGAATGGAATACCCACCACCAGTACCTTATCCATACAACTCTTTAAATCCTGCCAATAGGGGACCATGTAGGTACAATCCCAAAACACATGGAGGTGGTCTGCTCTGTCCTTTCCGCACTTCCTCCAACATTTGGTATCTCAGTATTTTGTTTGTGCTGGTGTACTGAAATATCTTACAACATTCTTCCAGCTAAACTCTCCACAAAGGGGCACAAGATGTTCTCCACTGTTGCCTACATACTGTATCTCCTCCCAGTTCTCCTGAGAAAGTCCACAGTTAGCATCTTTTTCCCATCTTACCTTTATGTATATTGTATTGCTTTTTTTTTTCAAATTTTCCAATCCTGTGTACAATCTAGATATTTTCTTCCCCAAGTTTGATTCATTTGCTGAAATAAACATCTTTAATATACCAGATTCCAGCTCAATTTAATTGGACTTTTAACAATTCTTCCGTATAGTGCCTCAATTGTAAGTACCTGAGGAAGTCCTTGTTGTTTAAATCATACTTATTCTTTATTTCTTCAAAGCTTTGCATAATATTTATTCATTCTGACAACAAGATTTCGGCCATAATCAGTGTTTCCTAGTTATAGTAGTGAAGCTGTGAGCTAACTCTGGATCTCTCCTCCTTTGGTCTGAAAATTACCTCAGCTTTGTTTTTATTTAGTTTGAGAAAAACATGGTACATCACCTTATTGATTTGTTCTAAGTATCTAGTCAAAGCTCTGATGGATTCATAGTCACCTGGTCAGATTGTGATATAAAGCTGTTTGTCATCTGCATCGTTGTGTTAACTGTTTTTTGCTATGATCTGAGCTAAGTGGGTCATGTAGATGTTAAATAGGAGGGTTCCCAGAATGGAACCCTGCATGGGATTTTTCTGGTCACTGATTTAAAGTTCCTAACTGACTCATAAAAGTGCTTGTCCTTCAGGTACTATTTAAACCAGTCCAGTGCTCTACCAGAAAGGTAAACCCAGGTTTCCAGATGCTCTAATAAAATCAAGTGATCAACAGTATCAAATGCTGCTCTGAGCTCCAAAAATACAAGCACTGTGGTTCTTCCAGAGTCTGAATTTATTTGAATGTCATTGAACACCTTAACCATGGCAGTCTATGTACAGTAATTGGCACGGAAACCTGACTGGAAGACATCAAAGTAGCTTAACATTGTTAAGAAGGTATTTAAATGTTGAAACAAACTTTTCAATAATCTTACTGATGAAGAGGATGTTTGAGATGGGCCTGTAGTTCTGCCGGACAAGTTTGTCATAGTTTTTAAGGCTTGGGGCAAAACACCCGACATAAGGGATGTGTTTATAGGATTTGAATCAAATTGGACTGTAATACAGGCAAAACCTTCATTTTAAACCCTGTGAGTAAAAAATCAAGACCACAGGAAGAGGAGCTTAGCTGTTGAATAGTTTCTTCTAAGCTTTTGCAGTTTATTGTTTAGAATTGGTTTTCCCAATCCTGTATTTTCTAAGTAAAGAAGTTAGCAAAATAATTGGAGACATTTTTAAATTGGAGTTCTTCTGCCACAGAGATTGGAGGTTTTGTAACCTGTAAACTATGGCAAGGAAGGCACGAGAATTGTTGTCCTCGGCGACCAAGTCAGAGGGCAGGATGTCTGAGTCATCATTAGGGCAAAGTTGGGCCCACCGAGCCACCCTCACTGTGCAGGACATGAAGCTGCAGGTCATGCAGGGATTTTCAGACAGTGCCTCCCCGAGGTGATCAAGCCCAGGCAGGAAGGAAGGGCACAGGTCGTGACCAGCATCTGCCTGAAGCAAAACGCTGCAATCCACAAAGCTATGGGAGCCATCTATGGAATAGAAAAAAGGGTGAAACTGGGAGAGGGGGTGCAAATGCGGCCATCCCTGGTTAAAGCTCAACAGGCATATGAAAAAACTTTAAACAACCAGTTAGTATAATGAGGCAAGTCAACAAGCCGTCAGCTGCCCTGTCGGTTACGGTGGTAGAGGCCATTAAAAACCGCCGCTGTAACCAGGTAGGAAACCCAAACAGATAAAACTGAATGTGGCCTAATCCCAAACAGACCACAATATCTATTATAAAGGAAAAGTGGTGAGAAACAGTAATGTCACCAGATAGAAGAACAAAAAATAAGGTGGCTTAACAAGGTGCAGGAAACCACACGATCAGTAAAACTGGGAGAGTGCCATGACTCACAACATAGGACCTAGTATTCAAGGCAAGAAAGACGGTGGGATTACTGAAAAGCATTTATTTAAAATATGGATCTGCGGTTCTGCAGTAGCAGTGGCTAGGATGTCTAAGGCAGGAATCTCTACAGGAGAGAAACACAGGTTAGTAAACACGATAATCTGACAGAGAATGATTATGAACACGTGAGTCACTAACCTGGTTTTAGAGTTCAGTCCATGCCCAGAGAAAGAGGAAGGATCCAGTGAGTGGGCTGCAAGCAAGATGTGGCGGATCAGAAACACTAAGGTAAAGCTCTCAGGGTCACCCTGTTGCTGGGCATATGGTGCAAAAAGCTCAAAAGGTGATGCCATACAGGCGAACCAAGACCTGGATGACGACAGCATATATAGATTCTGACTGGTCATCCAGGGTATCACAGGTGTGACTCTGTTGGTATAATTACTTGAGCTGCACCCTCCAGCATGGAAAAAAAAAGATTTAATCATTAGAAAAGAAAACATACTAACACCTAATCTCGAAAGAGAAAAAACTAATTTGATTTACAGATAATAATAAAGCTTAAACCCTCTTCAGACATATGCATATCCATCTTTATTTTTTTCTTGTATGTTCATAAACAACCAGGGTTATATTAGTTTCAGAAATTTTTGATGGAATTTTCGATACCACACTTTTCAACCCTTCCACACGTTTATCTGGAAATTACTTTCCATCCATGCATTTTTTTTTCCTAACACGCTTACTCCCAAATGGATTAGAAATTACTTTCCTAGTATAACAAATAGTTTTTCTGAATTTTTTATATAATTTATGTTGACATACATCAGTTTTTTTATGCCATATGCTGTCACTGACTGACCATTTGACAACTGTTTACGTGAAATACCTGATTGGACGTTCCTGTTTCTTTAAAACGCAACCATGCATAAATTCACTCATAACTAAGGGAAATGTAGGGAAACAGGTTAACTTAATTATTGTGCTTTTTGGACTGTGGGAGGAGCCAAAGTACCTGGAGAGAACATATGCATGCATGGGGCAACCCAGTCTCATGGGAAAATGTACCTCCACTACGTTTTGCAGTGTGGACCAACGTAGTGGGGGTACATTTTCCCATGAGACTGGGCTGCATGGGGAGAAGATAAAAAAAATTTAGGCTCAAGATTTTCTACATCCCATCTCACAAATTCACTGTTAAAACCAACACAATTTAAAGCCTTATGGAGTTTCTAAACTGAATGAAACATTGTATTTAGCCTAAAGGGAGAAGAAGGTTTTAAAATGGAACATGATGACTTTATGTGACCGCGACAAGCTCTCGCTGAGCTTGACAGTACATACACCTGTGACTGTCAATGTAACTGCTCGGCAGACAATCCCAATTTTTGATATTGGAGTCCTGCAATGTGGTAATGGCACAAGATAAGATGGAGAACCAAAAAGGCCCCAGGCTTTCCTCAAGTCTCTGAGGACTTTGGACAGCTATTGCTTTTCTGTTTACCTCCATGTTTTTCAGAAACACTGGCTCTGTTAAGTTAATGATCACGTATGCACAGAACTGAATGATAATTTTATTATGATACTTTTTATTTTTTAGGATGACTGGACAGAAGATGTGGACGCAAGTGGTTGTACTGGCAGTCCTGGTGCTAACGGTGATGGCAGCCGAAGGAGGCAAAGCAGAAAAACAAGGTGATTCTTGCAACCTCTCACACTTGTGAAACGTTGAAACAATTTGGATTTAAGATCCTGAAATGAAGACACACACATGCAGTGCTTTTGCTTCTTGAACTTTTAATTTAGCCAGACTCAGCTTTAGAAAAATGCAAACAAACTATTGGTGTGCAGTGCTACTTCTCCAGTGTAATACGTAAAGAAAAGAAAAAAGAAACTTGCAAAAAAGAGGAAATAAGTCAAATGGATTTCTCTTGTGTAAAGTAATGGAGATTTAAGCTTGTTTAAATTCCAAGGAAAAATTTGCCGTATTGGCATTGAAAGTTAGTGCAAAGAAGGAAATAAGCTATTTTTTTTCTTTGTTCCGAAATGTAAATATAAAACACAATGCAGTTTTAAAAAAGTTATAGATGTACAAGAATGAGAACTTTGATGTAATTTATCATTTCTTTGTCAAATTATATATTTTATGCTAAAAAAATAGTTTTAAAGTGGAATAAATTGAGATGCACTAATTTTTAGACTATTTACTCTTCCAGACTCTAAACAAACATATCACCAAATCATTTCCCCCTGCAGGAAAGAAGGAGCGCAGATCTGACTGCGGGGAATGGCAGTGGAGTGTTTGTGTTGCAAATGAGGGGGACTGTGGACTGGGAACCAGGGAAGGAACACGCACGGGTACAGACTGCAAGCAGACCATTAAAACCCAACGCTGCAAAATCCCCTGCAACTGGAAGAAGAAGTTTGGAGGTAAAAATATATATTTAGAGCTTGGAGATGCAGACAATCACATTGGAATCCCTGTTACAGATGTGAAAAGTCCTAAAATAGAATAATCGTTTGTGCAGAGGTTTAATCGTACACAACCCTTTTTTGAATAAATTCATTCAGCTATAAGAATCCCTAGATGAATAATAATTTCTTTAATAAAATGCTGCTGCTCTCTAAAACCCGTTTTGTAGCGAGCAGTGGATCCAATAACATTTTATTTTTAGTTCTTTTGGAACAACTACCGGATTTTACTAAAATTGTCCCTGTATTTTAAACAGTTTATGAGGTTTTCCATTTTACCAAAGTTCTAATGGGATTTTGAAAATCAACAGATCCATATCATTATGAATCCTTCACTCTGCTTAACAGAGGACAGGATGGGCTTTCCACCAAAGGCGGCTGCTGCTCTCTGAAACTGTGGAAATTCAATAGTGTTAGTTAAATTTAAACATCACATATTGAATTAACACATCTTTTGGCGTGTTATCCAATCAGGGCTGTACTTTCTTGCTGCTTACCTCAATAGACCAAGGCTCAAACCTTAACAGGGATTTCTCAAAGACGCTGATCGACAGCGTCCTGCTGCTCCAGAGTGGAGGGGAATTTGCGTCCAAAGCGGAATAAACAGCAGATAAATGAGCAAATATTCATGAAATCAGGTGTTTTTAGCGCATATTTATTGCAATTTAATGACTACATGAAGTTATGAAGTTTGACAACGCATATTTTACCAATCATTTTACTAAATGTCATGATTTTACTAAAGTTTTGACCCAAACGCAGAAGACCAAACAGGAAGACCAGGGTTAAAGGTTTAACAGGTTTTATTGAAGAGATAATGCAAAGAGAAGTGTTGCTCTGAATACTGCTCATCCGGAACTGAAAAGTGACGGGAAGGCACAGCGATTATTTCAGGCTCAGTGGGAAATTTGATTCGTGAACTTGGAGAAGAGGATTTGGTTGCTGACTCACATTTCCAGAGAAGTTGTTGAATCTTTGACTCCAGTCTGTATGCTGTTGTTCCAGTGTTTGTCTGATTCAGTGGAGGGCGGAACAGGGTTTACCTAGAATGCGGTTGTTTGTTGGTGAATGGAGAAGCTGACTGCCACTCAGATTTCCTGCGGTACTGAACAGGTCGTAGTGGAGAGGAATCCCTTTCTCAGCGTGAAGCTCAAACGATCTCTTGGGGAAAGTGGATCCAGACCTCCTGTTTGAATCCCAGCTCAGTTTGAAGCTCAGTTGATCCTTCAGGGAGAGAAGGTCCGAAAAATCCAGTTTGCAGGATGACTTCCTGCCGAGAGGCAAAGACAAAACAATCTTAAAACTCAGGTTGACAAGAACTCAGTTTAACTCAGCTTGGCTAGAGTACCCAAAACTGGCAAACACTCTGGCGTCGAGTTAGTGGCAGTCAGCAGCTTAAGAACACTCCGTTAACGAGGAAACCAACAGCAGGTGTGTGAGGAGGCGGACCAGAACCAGGCGCCTCCTGGTGGAGGATGGGAGACAAACACAGAAACACAGCAGAAACCGGGGATGTTTAACCTCTCTAGCACTAAATGAGAAATAGCCACTGCTTACCACATATCTATTCATTTAATCATAGCATAGAGGTCTAGTTACAGTCCCTGGAAAGTTTTTTTTTTTAAATATTAGATATTTAGTCATTTAACAGACTTTATTCTTACATAGGCCGGCCCCCCACATTATAATAGGCTCCTGTACCATACCCCATTTATACACAAAAGGAACTAAAAAAGATAGATTACCATTTATAAAATATATACAACTTTGATCAACTTAGTTAAAATCAAACATATATTTAAAAGTACCTCACATGTATTCTAAAGGGGTTGTGCTGAATTTGAGTTGACTTTCATTTGAGTTCTCTTTATGCTTCCGTTTTTTATTTCATTAATCAACAGTAATTTCTGTTTGTTGTTTTGTTCTTTTTTCATGTTTTTGAATGTGATAATGTTTTCTTGGATACTCCATATTTCTGTTTATGTTCTGTGATCACTGTGCATTCAATGCTATGTTCATTTATTTACTCATTTTTGGATTCAGCTGTTCAGTCTTTTCTCAGCTGCAGTGCATCTTGTTGATTAGACCAACCGGATTCTTGTTGTTCTAATCATTTCAGCAACATTTATAAGTTTGCTAGTTCTCCTCATCTGTTTATGTAATCCTGTTGTCATGCTCTTCTTTGTGCTGCTTATTTTATCCATGTTTCTGGGCTTTCCTATATGCCTGTTTCTCTCACCTCACCAAACTGTAATGATTGATAACATTGCTGTTATCCTTCCATACTATTCTGCACCAAAACTTTACTAAAGGTGCCAACACTTTAGCCACCAGAGACTTTTTTATATTTTCTAATGAAAGAACCTAAATCATAGTTTTTTTTTTTTTTTTTTTATGTATATATTTTTATCAAAAACAAAAGAAACAACACGATGAACGGTAACAAAATGTGTCCATATCTGTTACTGATTAGTATTACGAGTATGAGTCACTTATACTAAGAATTGTACTGACATTCATCACTGTATTCATAGGGTTTCAATTATTGATGAACATACCCAGAGAATTCCACCTTTGTACAAGTACATGATTTCTATTTGTTGCTCCACTCCCCATAATCCATTGTTGCATGTCATTTGGAAAAACAATGGCCTCATTTTCAGAACAAGAATGCATAAGCTAGCTAATTAGAGGTACAACAGAAATGTCTGCTGAGAATATGATACATTGTCATGGAAATAACCATCCAACATCATCATTACCAGCACAACAGAGTAGCAGGCATTGTTTTTGCCTTGTTTTTGGGGGGTGTAAATAGAAGCACAGTGAATATGGTTTGGCAGGTTCATAACTCTCTGGATTTTGTCAGTCGAGCAGTGTTTGATGCTGACGGCATGTTTACTAAATTTTTCACATTTTATCGTATATAAAAGCCAATTTCTGAGACATTCTATCGGAGTGATCTGGAGAAATCTTATCAGCAAGTAGTCCCAGATTTTCTTTTTTTTTTTAGCTGGATTCTCTTCTGCTAAAATCTCCAGAAATGACAAGTCTGGGGGGACTGCTGTTCCCATGTTAAAACTTGCAAGACAGGAGTCTCCTTCTTTGCAGCCAGCCTGTCAGAAATGATGAACTGATTGCAGAATGTGTCCTCGCCTACTATATGCACAGATTGTGATAGTAAAAGTTTGCGGTATTAAATAACGTGGATCCAGACTCTTAATAGAAGAAATTTGTTGATCAAAGAAAATAAGGAAGTGTAACAATATGATATACAGTATCATTTTTGTGATAAAGATACCGCAGTTGTAAGAATATGTTTGTGATTAAAATAATTGTATTATTTTTGTATCTTTTATTAGGGTCGCTCCAACTGGAAGACAGGATGTAATTCTGAGATGTCCAAAGAAACTTTGGTTTTCAGAGATGTTATAAACAAACACAGCCAACTTGACTGCACAGAAAGTACCTGAAGGGTTTACTTTCATTTTAACATCACACAGAAATAAAAGTTAAACAAACTTACAGTGATGTTCTGCAACATTTAAGGTCAGTTTGAATAAAATGTAATTGAACTGAATGATTTTAACTTCGTGTTGAACCTAGGTCAGATTTAGACTATGTGCTGATAAGCAAATTAAAACGGTTGTGTGGAAAATACAGTATATATATATATATTAAAAAAAAACGATCATAATGTCCTTATCCTTTGTTACCAAATGTCAACATCTTTTACTACATATTCTCTACAGCAGAGGTCATGGATTAG